TTTTTGGTTTTTCTCCGGTACCGGGAACCGAACTCACGACCTTGCGCTTGCCAGGCAGGTGCTTTTGCCGCTGAGCTAAATCCCCAGCCCCTAGAAAGATTATTATTTAAATAAATCCTTCACTAATCACATGTCCTTAAAAATCCCTCTGCTGATAAAACAATTTTAGGGGGAAAATCCATTACTCCAGCAAATTTCCAGTACTCTCAGCATGTACTTTACCTTACTTCAACAGATCAAGCTTTCAAAATAAATGTCCATAGTTCTGTCAATACATAGCCTGCACATGTGTATTAAAGTCTATTCTTTTACACAATATAAAGGTTAAGAACATCAGTCTGTCACACTACGTACACAATATTCTTTTTCTTTTGCATTCAGACAACATAGTATCTTATACTAACACTATCAATATTAGCATTAGGGTACTTCCTATGAGTCTCAGGGGTTTTATACTATTTTCAGTCAGTTTTCAAACATATTGACAAAACAATGACCCCCATAATTTATGTCCTGCTTTTACAAGGTGCACCTGTGTTATTCTTTCTTGAATGAAGAAGAGGGAATCACTAGGGGAATTAAATAAGGGAAATGGAGCAATCGACGCTATCTAGGAGATTTAGACATCTGCCCACCAGCCTCCGAACAGAAGGGCTAGAAAAAGGAATTGTCCAAATATGTTATTCTATACTTATAGCATTTCTCAAAATGTGTTCTGAACTGTGGTGCATAGTCACTAAAAAAATTAATCTACAGTTAAATGTTTAAAATGCTAAATGAAACAGTGACTCTGTGTGTGTATGTGTGTGTGTGTGTGTGTACCTATGTACATGTTAGGGATTGAACCCAGGGCTTCCTGCATGCTAGGCAAGTGCTATATACCATTTACCTTCCTGGATTATTGCAAATGGCTGTGTTCTAATCATACCATGCCCAGAATTAACATATATGTATCTTGCACAAGACACTTATGAAGCACTTTTAAAGGAAAGAAAGGCTTATTGTATAAGTGAGAGTAAAGAATAAATTTCTTACATTATCCCTCACTGTTCAACAAGGGGTAACCCAGTTTGATAGATATAATTTACCTAGCTGGCTTTCAAATGACATCACAAAACTACTTTTGATTGGTAGGACACAAAGTTCAGTATCCCAAGAAATCAACCAAACAAGCTTGTGCTGAAGTATAAGGTTTTTGCTTGTATTCTTACAGATAAGCCAAACCACAAGGATCAAAACATTTGGAGCAATTGACAGTATGGGGATGTAGGCATTCAGGTACACTCAGAGGGGGACAGTAATCGACTATGAAAATTATGGTGCACAAGTAACTAAATCTGTAGTATTGCATTAGAACTAATAACATGGCCTGTTTTAATACTCAATAGAAACTTCATAATTAATAATAAAAATAACAACCCAGCTAAGTTAATTTATAAATGATAGCACAATAAACTGGTAGAACTAGGGTGACATATGGGTTAAGAATAACAGAAAAGCATTAAAAATTAATAATCAACAACTACCACAGTTATCAGTCAAAATAAAAGGACATTATCTTATCCTAGTGACAAGAGAGCTAGTAAGTTTAGCTACTACCTGTGTATAAACTACACACTCTAGCAGTACCTACTGTCAGGTCTCTTAACTAGATCTCTGCCCAGCTAGGAGACAAAAACTCCCCAAGCAGATCTGTTCTTCACACCTGCAGGAGCACGGTATTGAACAGGAAGGCTGCAGCTGCCCCACCCAGCTCAACCTGCAGAGAGCTGATTCCGTGAAAAACCACAAGAGACATGCTGTGCCTGCCAGCACTCCCCCATACCCAACACTACCCTATCGGCTAGCCCTGGACCTCTACTCAGAGACCTAAAATTTCACACCCCCTACCTAAACTCCCCTATAAAACATGCTCTCAGCCCTTGCTCAGAGCCAATGGTCATTTCCCCCTTGGTCTGATCACACCCAGTCTGTAATAAAGTCCTCATACATTGCTTAAACTCTGCCTGTCTCAGGGGTCTCAAGTGTGCCTCAGTTTACCCTAATACCTACTTCTTTCTAAAGATTAGAATTTCTAAATAAGGAAGGTCATATATATGGAAGAGCACTTTGCATGCAGCTCTTCCCTCGGACAGCAGATAGCCCAGACTATCTTCTGGTACATTTAGGGATGCTGGGTTTCCTCCCAATCTGATTTCAACTGCAATCTGACCTTCTTCTTTGCTTCCCTTCATCTTCTGTACCTCTTCCCTACTTAACCTTTCCACACTGTCCCTTTGGACATCTAATATATAATATATTTTCTGTCTTTATTAAGTTATTGTCTTTCTGAGCTCATAAGAAAACATGTTCCAAAAGAGCAGAGTTTATTTTTACTCATTTTATTCAATACTGTATTAGAGTCCTAAATCACAATACTTGACCTTGTGATGAACTTGTGGGATGAGTCACTGAATAAAAATGGACAGCCACTAGAATACCTCGTATGTGGCTAACACTGCTTTTCCTTTCTATTTTTTCACAGAATACACAGATTACCCATTATAGCTTGTCATAGTCAACAAAACTGAGTTCAGTATCCCAAGAAATCAACCAAACAAGCTTGTGCTGAAGTATTTAACTGTGTTTTCTTGATCTATTAACTGTTTCTATTTTTCAAATAAGGTGAAGATAAAAAATATATGGAATAGTGAGTAGAAAGTAATCACAACCCCAAATTAGATTATATCAGAAGCACATTTCCCCCATGTGACTATTTCACAGCACAATTAAAGAATATGTCAGGTTACCCGAGCTATAGAAATCTGAGGATCACCCAACAGGTTTTTGAATGAACGCCAGACAATCCATTTGAATTGATGATAGAAAGAAGTGACATAGGTGGTCTCCTTGAAGACTATGCTCCTCTTCTTCTGAGCTCCTGAGAGTTGATCTAAGTTATCTTTTATTTTTCTGCAGATGGAAGACTTTGCATAAAATTCTGCTAAATTTTCTATGACTGATTTTTCTCTCTTACAAAGTTCTTCAGTCTCATTGGCTTGTAAGTAAAACAGATAAAGAAAGAAAACATTATCATCAGACAGCAAGTAATTTAAACCATTTTTCTGACCACCATATTGAATAACACCTAAGTTCAAACCTTGACTATCAAATATTATTAGATTTATTGCTGCTTTACACATTAGAAAAACAGAGCTAACAATCTGACTGCCACCATATTTATGAATACAGCAAAGTCAATGATCTTCTGTCTTAATTATTTGGATACTAATTTTAAAATAGGCTTCTTTTCATACACATACGCATACAGATTTTTTATAATAAAAATCTGGTTCGTGCTTTCTACTATGTATAAAAGTGTAATGTACAATGTCAAATTGCTTATTTTAAAAATGCTATGAACAGTGAGATATTTATTGCTAAGGAAACTCATCTTATAACTGCAAGTTTTATACAAATGCCTATTCATTAATTAAAATGAAAACACCCATAGCCTTTATGGACAAGACTCTCTGTTGACTGGTATCAGAACACTGCACTACTGTGAGTTCACAAAGACATGTTTTCATGAGCTGCCACACTACTAAGCTTCTGCCAAATCAATTAAGCAAACGCATGTAAATCTAAGAGTCACACACGTCCATAGTCTTCCTCCTGTCTGCTTAGCGCCACAGCAGAGGAGTCTCCATTAATCACATCCAGGAAGAAGTCAGCAGGGTTGTTGCAGGGTTCACAGATATAACCTAAGAAAGAAGGCAATGCAAGAACACAAAATTAATAGTCTTGGAACACAGAGGGGTTCACTTTTAGAGAATAGATAAGGTGAGGTCTGGCAACATAAATTCTAACAACTTCATCTTCTTGCTGTCTGCTCTCCTCATCAATTCATCTTTTCTTCTGAGGTGTTCAATCATATAATAACTTACATTTTCCATCTCAGACATACATTTTCTGTCTCCCATGCCAACTTTGGACTCTTCAGAGCATCTTATATTCATCCTTACCTAATAAAAGTCATGACACCCAAAAAGCTATTAATAGTCTATAGTGCTTAGTACTTATTCATAAATAGCTGGGATGAATAAGTCTAAAATGCCTGTGTGCACTGTCCCGCTAAGTAAAGCTGGAACAGCATACACATCAGCAGAGTATTCCACCCAAGAACAAAAAACATATTTTTTACAACTACATTTAGTATTTTGTCCAAAATAAACCACATACTAGCTAATCAAAATGTATAAATAAACACAAAGAAATAAAAAATTTTCCATAGATATTATCAGATTACGGTGCAATAAAACTAGAAACCAAAGCAAAAGAAACCATGGAAACTATGGAAATGTATGTAAATTAAATAACATACAGTGGAATAATCAATGTGTCACAGAGGAAATTAAGGAAGAAATAAGACAGTTCCTAGAATTAAATGATAATGCTAGTATAACATAACAGAACTTAAGAGACACAGTGAAAGCAGTCCTATGAGGGAAGATTATAGCTGCAAATACTCACATTAGAGAAACAGAATAAGCCCAAATAAATAAACTAATTATACACTTCAAGGTCTTGGAGGAAAAAAAAAAAACAATAATTCAAACCAAGAGCTTGTACAAGGAATGAAATTATAAAGATCTGGGCAGAAACTGACGAAATGAACACTAAAAAAAAAAATAAAGCTGGTTCTTTGAAAGAACAAACAAAACAGGTAAACCCTTAGCCATTCTTACCAAAAAGGAAAAGAAAGATGCAAATCAATGTAATTAGAAATGAAAAAAGAAAGATGAAATCACCTTTGGATTTGAACAATGCCAAAATCCAAAAAATTATTAGCAACTACTTCAGAAACATATATGTAAAAAAGCTGAACTCGGAAGAAATTCCTAGATTCATATGTATTGCCAAAATTAAACTAAGAAGAATTGAAAATCTTGAAAAATTCAATAACATGAAATGAATTTGAAGCATAATTTTTTAAAAAGTACCAGCTAAGAAAAGGTCAGGACCTGATGGGCTGAAAGCCGAATTTCACAAGAAAAATCACTCTCAGAAGCTAATATCCTGATCCCCAAAGCAGACAAGGATCCAACCAAAAAACATCTATACGCCAATCTCTCTAATGAGCACAGTTGCAAAAATCCTTAAGAGGATACTGGCAAACAGAATGCAACAAGTCGTCAAGATCATACACAATGACCAGGTAAGCTTCATCCCCATAATGCAAGAGGATGGTTCAACATATGTAAATCAATAAATGTAACTCATCACATAAGCAGAAGCAAGAACAAATATCACATGATCATCTAAATAGAAAGCCTTTCACAAAATTCAGCATCATGATAAAATCCCTGAAAAAGAAGGTGTATCAATAAATTTTTCCAATCTGATAAAACCATGAATGATCAACCTACTGCCAATGTTATATTAAATGGTGAAAAACTGAAAGCCTTCCCTCCAAAATCAGGAATAAGACAAGAATGTCCACTATCATCACTCCTGTTCAACAAAATTCTCAAAACATTAGCCAGAGCAGTCATGCAAGAGAAATAAAAGTGAAATGTATAGAAAGGATAAAGTCAAAATACTGTGCCATTATTTGCAGGTGACATGATACTTTACTTGCCAGACCCAAAAGTCTCCACCAAAGGCTCCTAGAGCTAATAATCAAATTCAGCAATGTAACAGGATACAAAATAAACACAAAAATTAACAGCATTCCTATACACTAATAATGAACTCGCTGCGTTAACAAAACAGTATCATTCACAATAGCATCAAAAACATTAGTTACAAATTAGCCTATGGAAGTGGTCTTTACCTCTACAGTGAAAATTATATCACTCTAAAAAAGGAAATTGAGGCCCCGTGCCTCCTGCGCCGAGACAGCGAGTACTCTGGGAGCTGCAGGGCTCATGTGTTCGAGTCTGTGCTCGACCCACACCACCACGATTCCCAGCTGAAATGCGCGCAGAGAGCCAGGTATTTCCCATCTAATCCCTGAGGGCAGAACGCGTGAACAAGGACCCCTCAGACATTACAGACTGAGTCCCTGCAGCGACAGAGAGGAGGTCTGGACTGTGAGGCCCCGGGGATTTCTCTGGCTGGGGGCTGGGTGAGCAGGCTCTCTGAGCCGGGCAAGCAGACTCTCTGAGCCCCGCACGCCCTGTGCTGAGAGAACAAGTACTCTGGCAGCTGAAGGGCCTGTGGGTTCGAGTCTGTGCTTTGCCTTTGCCCAGACCCTCTAGCGAATCGAAGGCTGGGGAACTCTGTCACTGGTACCCATCTGGGCTGCATCTGGTTCCTGTATGAGTCCTGAATTGACTGGAGACATAGATTTAGGTGGTTCACAAACTGTAGACCCTGCAGTTTGTGTCTAAATTATGCCTGTACCCTAAACTGCCTGGAGACATAGGTCCAATGGACTGGGATTGTCGCACCAGTGCAACCTGAGTCAGGTCATGCACGTGCACTGAACTGCAAGGAGACGCTGGATCAGAAGGTCGGCCATCAACTGACACAAGTGCCCATGTCTGAGAACGGGGATAACTAGATGGAAATCAAAAACTGCCAGAAACCCCGAGACTAAGTAGCGATACTTAGAGGTCATCCAGAGACAAACCTGAACAACAGGAAAAATAGGAACACTAGTGGTCTTCACTGTGCAGCTACTCAAGAGGGAAACTGAGCTTTCTGCAACCGACAGCAAACATGTCAAAACGAAAGACTAAAACACAATCCCAGAACTCCACCCCAATCAGAACAGGTCCAGGAGACATCAACATAGGAGAACTTGGTAATCACATGCCTGAAAGAGCTGAAATGATTGCAATGGAGGTAAAGAAACAACTCCATAAGGCCATAGAAGAGATGAGATCAGAAATAATTTCTCAGGCAAAAAGTGAATTGACAAGAATACTGAAGGAAATCCTCAAAAAGTCTGAAGAAGAAAT